GCTATTGTTCAAATAACTACATCCAGAGTCCAACTAAGAAGCGTAATGCAAAAGACAAAAATACTAGTGTTTGACATAATTGCCATTAGATATCCCCAAATCTTACTTCAAGTGGAAAGATAACCTCGTTAGTTCTACTCAAAGCTGTTATCATTTTTAAAACAACAGTACCACACAGACTTCTGATAAGCACCAGTTAACCTAACATTTTTTTAAAGGCTTTTACTGTATGCCAATAGTGACCTACTATCAAACCCAGATCCTATCTTCCATTTTGCCCAAGAGACACAATGCGATTTCACTGCTTTGCTACAAACACTTAAGTGCTGGAGTAGGGTGGGAAGAAAAGCAATTCAAATGCTCAGCTTGATCTGGTATAACAAGTAGCAGAAGGAGGAAAAGCATTAAGCTTTTTCCCCAGAATCTGTTGTGACAGAAGGAGTATTACACATTCACAAAACATCTTCCCTTTTACTCTTCTCCCTGCCCCCAAAAAATATCAGGACATTTTTTTGTCCACTTGAACCAATCCATTAAGTACCTCAACAGACATTTGGCAAACCAAGTTCCAGCAACGCAAGGGAAGTTTGACAACATAGGTGGTAGGAACACGTTTCTCCTCTCCCTCCAGAGTTCTGTGAGGAATCTGAAATCTGGCAGATAAAGTCTAAAATGCAAGACGATCAGGCAGTATTTAACATATGCACAGTGTTTACACTGTGACATACTTTCGGATTAAGTTGTATATGGATTTGACATACTAGATGGTATCTGACAATATGGTTATCTAAAAGCCACATGAAGACATATTTCACACAGTGGCCTGAATCTGTCAGATAATTCCTTAACGATTAACGCTGGTCTCGAGTTTGAATGTGGTTCAAAAGTCAAGGAAGTCAAGGTCATTACTCTAGTCTATCCTCCCTGTTCAAATTGGTAACTCTAGTTGTGGTTGAAATGGCTGCACTGGCGATACAACTGTACTCATTTAGAAACGAAATATTTGTAGAGTAAGTCCCAATACGATGTCCTAATCAACCTTACCATTTTCTCTTTTAAATAAAAACAGGTTTTTCATGTCGTATGTGGCAGTGCCAATTGTAAAATGCTCTTGAAACACTCACTGCACACCACCAAAACTTAAGGATTCATGAAGGTTTTCAGTCCAATAATTAAAATGCAAGTAGGAAAAAAAAATTAATTCATCTTTAAATCCCTTTCAAAAGCACAGCCATCCTACTCAGGAGCTGTAGAGAGCTAACTAAGCTCCTTAATTCTCTTCTGTTTAACCCACTCCTGAAGACTGATGTTCTAATGAGATACCAGCAGAAGATTCTGTCCTTTGCCATAGAGCATTAGAAATGATTCCTCAAAACAGCCCAGGCTAAAACAGACATTTAACTCTTGTACAATTGGTTAACATAATGCAGTTCGTGAGTTTTTGTACCTTTGTACAAGAGGCAAGGTACTGAATGACAGGTCTGCCTCCAGGCAGGTCACAGAGATCAGAATAACCCACCCAAAGAGAAGGAAACCTAGCTGTCATCGTTGGGATAGCAGAAACCCACACACTGTAGTAGTCCCTGCCACTGAACAAAAGCTAATCTTGCACCTAAACAATCTAGGCATTAAATGCACAGGAAGCCTTATCTTCTGACTTATGACAGAAGATGACAGACAGAGCTGGTGAAAATAAAGAGGTGCTGCCCTAACAGCCAAGGACAGCAACCCTTTAAGTACAGAGCAATTTTTAACACCCAACCAACTCTACATCTTGGCACGAACAGTTGATACATCTGCATCACCAGCCTTGGATATCACAGTGGGAAAAATCGATTTGGACGCTGTAACGCAGAAGAGGAACTTATGACCACACAAAATGTCCTTATTCATTCTGTCTTCTTGACACATATGAAAATAATACCCGAATCAAGGGCATCTATCCTAAACAAATCCTCAGGAGCTTGTTTTTGTTTTAGATATGCAAACCCTAGTAACTATTCACCTTAAATTAATTATCTCTGGAAACAGTGTAAGAATCCACATACAACAGCCTCTTAAGAACTAACATTTGCAATTCCTAAAAAAAATAAAAAAATAAAAACCCACATAGAAACAAGACCAAAAAAACCTAAAAAAACCCCCACAAACCAGCCACAAATATGCCAAAAAGACTTGTTTCCTGACCACTGTTTAGCCAGCAGGTTGAAATGCTGCAATAGCACCTGGATTTAAGCAGACATGTATGCAATTAAACACTTCAAAGTGCCAAAGATAAAGTTGTGGAGGAAGCCTTACCACGGCCATTTCCGGTCTCAAATGCAACATATTCAAGTAGAAAGCTCTGCAGTACAGCTGTTTGTGTATGGGAAGTTCACCTCAATTAAGTCTGTTTATAGCAACATTCAGGTCCTGACTAACTTTGCTTTAGTCAAACTGCAATAGTTTACACCAAATCAAATGAATAGGGAACTGCTGATGCAACAAATGTATCACTACAAGAAACCAACCCTTTCACACAGGCAAACTGCAACTACTTCATTTGCTTGAAGTGACTCTACCTTAACAGCAATGTGTGCACCACACTGCATAAAGAAACACTGCTGCAGTGCAATTTTTTTCTTTTTCAGTCGGCAGCCCAAGCACTCTGAAGGGCTTCACACAGAGCAAGTGCAGCATCCACATAGGAGGCAGGCCTTAAAAACGTTAAAGCTTGTTCAGTGGAAAGTTTCCCCATCACTGCATTTTTCAGTAACAAAGATGTTGTCAGAAATGACAATTTTTCGTGTCCCCTGATGATGCCTTGCTAGCATTTGGTTATAAGCCATGAAGCAGGAATAATTTCAGCCTGTCAGGAGTCTAGCTAATGCCCAGTTTCCCCCTAGAGAGAATTCCTGTCAAACGTAATGAGAGCTCCAAAGGCCCTCTCTACAACATAATGAGCACTTAGGCCATGCTGGTGATCAGCCAGCAAAAAGCATCAATTTGAGCCTGGCTACACCCTTGGGGCTAGACGTCACCAGTTTTAATAAGAATTATGATTACTATCTGCCAAAAGCCTCCTCAGAAGTTATCGTTAGCGGTGGAAATTCAGACGAATGTCATTGGTAGATTACAGGAAACAAAACAAAACAAAAAAAACTAAGACCACCTACATACTGAACTGTAACACCATTTGGCATCCTCACTGCAGGCATCTAAATCAAGAGTCTTTAACAAGAAGGCGCTACTTTTATTGGAAATTAGAATTACTTAACATGTAAAAGCATAGTATCTGAGACTCATATCCAGGGGAATGTATTTATGCCTTCAAAAGCTTATTCTTTTCTTAACAGCGTACACAGAGCAAGTGTGCTCCACTCTCCCCAGCTCTACATATTATACATAGGTATAATGCTCTGTCATAAATCTTAAAAGCTTCTGAAGTATCACTGCCTACTGGGTATGTAATTATAGTTGCCATACATACAGAACATTAAACCCTTGCAATACACAGATGTTAAGGTCAAAGTGGAAACCTCAGTTCTGACACTCTTTAATCTTGTGGGCTTAATTGATTTTATCTAAAGTTAATTCCTAGTACATTCATTGAAGTCACAGATTCTCTTCAAAGATCTTCTGGAAACAATATCCACTTCACACCAAATGAGGCTCCTATACAGATGTTGGCCTCACAGGTTACAGTATGCCAACAAACTGTTTAGAAGAAAAAAAAAAAAAAAATCCAAGAAAGAAATCTCCAAACCACAAAGCCTGGAAAAGTCACCTAACAGAAATACTGACGTTCTTTTAAGACACAAGAAGACTGATGCAGCTACAGTACAGAACCAAGTAAAAAACTACTCTAGTCGTTCTGTCTACCTATTCAACTGTGAATTATTAAAAAAAAAAAAAAAAAAAAAGGTGGTTATAATATTTCTCCTTTTACCGGCATTTTGGTTTCAAAAAAGTGTGCCTCTACAAACCAAGAGAATACCTATCCAGCTTTGCAGATAGAAAGTTATCATGGCATTATACCACCACCTTTTCAAACATAATATTTTCAGGGGGGAAAACAAAACAAAAATCAAAGAGTTCAGAGTTACAAAAGCAAAATTCAACTCTGCAATTCAGTTGCTTAATGAAAGTCTTTGAATATACTGAAGATCCGAAGCCTGAACTAATCAATTGCTTCGCTGTGCCCTAGCCGGTCAGCCATGCTCTTTAATTTAATGAAACAAGAGTTTTAGATGAAATAGCACATACACATCACGAAAGAATTGTATTGTTGCACTTTGAAATGTGTCCAACTGTGCAACTTCATCTAATGATAATTTTTTTTAAGAGGCCATCGATTTCTGAAAGACTTATTGTACCAGCATCTTGATGAAAAAGTGAATGTCAGCGTATCTACAGAATACTTACACCCTGCCATTAATGCTTTATTTGGCAGACAATGAGTACTCAATCGAGGGTCCTCTGGGCTGAGCAATCATTTAGCTTTTCTTCTCTTATGAGGTCCTTAGTGTCTTGTTCCAGTTCAATACTCTTTTTATTCACCATTATAGTGGCCATAAGTGTGAATTTTATGGGAACTTGCAAACTCATAGTCATAACTAGACCTTTCCAAGTCACTAATCTTTTCATACCTTTAAATGGCAAGAATTTGAGCAACTATTGCTACATATGCTACACACATAAGACCAGTTCTACACATCAAAGGCTCTACACCACCAAAAGAAAACCATGTAAAGCACAGAATTATATTTTTGAAGCCACAGGCGCAAGGCCTTTCCTATTTTTGCCAATGTCTTTCAGGACCAATACCAAGAAACCCTTGTCGCTCAGCCTAATCTATACCTCATTTAACAGCAGGTAGGCAAAGGTTTACTAATCACATCTACAAATCAGCCTATTGATTCAGACACATGATACAGTCATCCAAACATAAACAGAACAGCTACACTTAAATGCACTAGACAAACCGCAGATTTTGTGGTTTAGAAAACAAAATGCCTTACCTGTTTGTGCATTTCAATGTTTAATCCATACGACATTTCATAATACTGCAAATAAAGGAGCACACATTATTTTCTTATGTTGGCTTACATTGTATTAGGAGATATTCACTACAATAAAGGAAAAAAACAACTACACTTACCATCACATAGTGCCTCTGCATTTCTGTCTTTTCGCTTGCCAGTTTCTCACATTCCAATTTAAGGCTACAAAATAGATCACACTTTAATGTAACTTATGTCATTCGTTTTGACATCTACCCACTTTATTTGTATTTTGACAGAAGCAGCTAATTAAAAACCACTGATACACTAACACACAAATGCAGAAAGACTTAATTCATACTTTAAATACAAAGCCTGAGCAGGAAATTTAAAAGGTATTTCACGGGTGCTGTATGGGACCCAAACTGTCTCCAGAACCCAAACATATCCAATCATCATGCTTTGTCAAAGAGCTGCTGTGAAGTGCTACAACTTTCAAGCTGTAACAGGATCTGAATTTCTCCAAAGTACTTCTCAGTAGTAAAACAGGGGTATTTCTTTGTATATGACATTTAGTAAATTACTGCCAAGTAATACCACTCACATTTACAATTACAACTTGAGTATGCCTGTAATTCCTAACCTTAAGTACACTCAGGCTAATGTTATCTTGCCCACAGCTTGAAAACCAGTAACTATCATTTACTAGAAAATTCGTTTCCTATTTTTGGTTTCATAAATGAAAAGAAATTGCATTTGGCACTTGCACATCTCATCACTAAAAACGGTGTAATTCTGACCACTTTCAATGAGGGCAAATGCCTCAACATTCCCTTTATCCTCTGGCAAACTGCTTTTTTCTTTTTAATGACACTACTAAGCATCCTAGGGAACAGTTAGTGTGTAAGCCAGCATTTTCCACTTACAGCTTCGATACACTACATTCCTAAAGTAATGAATGGCTTAAACAAGTTAACGATTGTAGATAAGACTAAGACTACAGTATCATAGGTAAGAAAGAGGAAGCCTAATCAAAACCAAGAGATTTCTAACTGGGAAACCGGTAAAGCTTTTATTACTACCCAGATCTGGCAGGTGCATGGAAGTACAAAATTAAGGCAGATTGATGCCCCTTAATGACTACTGCCCTGCGCACGCAAGAACCCAGCGCTGTAGGGACCTCAGCAGCAGGCACAAACGCAACAAGAACATCTGAAGGACAGCACAGCAATGAGAAACGCATGTCACAGCTTCACTAGATTCACGCTAACTTCGCGTTAGTACTCCAGCACTTGTGGGCTTTAACAGCCCTTCTTGGCTCTTTCGGCACCACACGTTGGCATTTCACTAATCTTTGCATTAACACCACAGACAAATGAGCAAACATGAGAATTAGCCTCTTTAATGCTCTGTGCCACAGAATTAGCGGAGGTTTTCTCTCGATATAATTATAAAATAATCCCCCACGCAAGGATCCCTTTTTTTTTTTTCCTAATGCACAGAAGTGCCGATCCGCTCCAGCTTCCACATTCCCGCCCGTCCGCGGGTGCGCGGGCAGCACCCCGACAGGAGACCCCGCGCAGGGCA